GAGTCAATGAAAAGTGCTTGACAACTTCACCAACTTCCCACTTACACTTTAACGCCTATCCGCTTTATACCTACTGTATATGCACTTTTTGTTTTGTTTATGGGGCTTAGTATTGACCACGTACCTCTTTCCTTAGCAATAACATTAGTGCCAAGAACCGAGAAACAAATTCTGAGTGGACTTCATTGAATATTTTGTTATACATGCACGTAATAATCTCCCTTCCCTAGTTTGAGTAAGTTGGGACGTAGATGCGTGACGCGGTATCGCGTTGCGTAAACACGGCTTCTAAAGAAGGAGAAATTAATCTAGGATGGAAGGGCGTATTAAACATATGGCGCAAGTGACTAACATGTAAACAGGTTTTAATTGGCATTCGCGTTTTAATAAATAAAATAAAGCTAAGCATAAACTCTTGCCGTAATTTCACGTGTGTAATTTGGTTAATGTGACAGTCAAGAATGAGCGTTGGTAAGTATTGAATCGGCCAAACCGAAACCGCCTCAGGAGTTAAAGCCTTAAACGCTTACCTTTGATCATACATCACTGTTAATTGGTTAGTACGAGAATATTACGGAAAGCTACTTAAGAAACTAAAAATTTATCGTAGGGACTCGATCTTTGAGTATTTCCCGATCACATGAATGGGTGAGCCGGATTATTCCATTGTTTTTTATACACCTAGGTGCTTTTTTTCTTTTGATTCTTATATACCAAATATATATATATATTTTTTTTAATTTTTTCAATATTTAATATATGGAATAAATATTTTCACAATTAACTTATACTGTGCACGTAATCAAAATAATTATTGAAATTGTTTTCCAAAATAAAAAGAATAGAATCATCACATTCATTGTTCACCAATACAGTATACTGTATATATATATATTTTTTTTGAAAAGTGAAATTTTAATGAAGGGAAGGGTAAGAAGACAGATCATTCTTTTTAATCACCAATCTCTTTTTTTTTTTTATTGAAAGATTTAAAATATTTAAAACATTTAAAACAATTGAAATTCTTATAACTCACATCAAATATGTCTATATGTATTGTATATATTACAAAAATTGTTATATGCAATTGGAATGCTAAATCAAAAAAAAATTTTTTTTTCATAATAATTGAGTTTGTTGCTCTGCATTTGTGTGTCAACCATCTACTTGATATATTGTTAAAAAAATCATAATCACTATATTTTGATCTTTATTGGAAATTATAATTTTTTTATTTAAAAAACTTTAGTTGGCATTTATTATATACAGTAGTAACCAATGTATCATATAAAATTCGAGTTTATTATTCTGCACATGTTCCCACATTTCTTCTATGTACTCCGTTATTTACATTGAGTTGATATAAGTTGTTAAGCTTAAATTATAAATGTTGATATTTTTAATTGAAATACTGTATTAAAATAGAAAAAATCAAATGCAAAATACTGTATATTTAGAAGGTTCAAAACCGCGGCTTTCTGCATTTCACACTAAATTGCAAAGTACACTGCATCAATATACTCCCGACAGCGAAATACACTGTATATAAACTGTATATAATTAATTTCTATTTTTTTTGTTGCTCTGACCGTTCCCTTCGCTATCGTGTTCTCTCTTGACACTCGTGCTACCTCTTGCAGATTCCTTCTCCTTTCTTGACTTCTTTATGGATTCAACCAATTTGTTCATATACTCATCCAAAAACTTTGAGACTCGGTTTCGAATACTATTCATATAATGTCCAATGTCTGACCGCGAATCTTTTCGTTGCATTTCTTTATCAAAGAAACGCAACTCTTTGTCATATAGAATATTAATGCACTAAATTTAAATAAGGAATTTTAGCAAAGATGCACGACAAATATGCTTCATTCACACACAGAGGCAAGCACATGACAATCACCCGTTCTTTATGTTTGTTAAAGGTCGACTCTTCCATAAGGTTTTTATATGGCTCGCATTGCTCAACAACAATTAAAGTAAACTGTATGAGTGAACAAACAAGTGGATCAATCGGGTAATCGCCTAGAGATTAAAGTCCGCGTAAATGTTAATTGATGTTTTACCTCGTCGCGAAATTGTTGTTTATCTAAGGAAGCGACCGGTGAATTTCCAGACGTCGTGTTATCAGGAACGGTGGGACGTGCAGGCAATTCACCCGTTGACTCAACACTTTCATTCGCCACCGCATCGACATGCTGTGAAGGTGTAGTTTTTTCAGTATTCTTATTCGGAGATGACTCGGTTGTGGAAATTTTCTCCGAGTTTCCATTTTTTACACTATGATGATGCGATGATGATTTGGTTCCCTATCGAACGTTGAATGTTTGATTTCGCATGTATGGCTTACGATATGCAATTTAATATTGGAGAATTGTGGTACCTTCATTTTACTTCTTTTCTTTGAAGAAGGGCCTTTGCTATCATCAGGATCAAAAATCTACATTACGAATTATTATGCTGCATTAATAAATCTCGATTGAGGAAAAAAAAAAGTAGTCATATGTATTTACTTTCTTAATTGCCTGCACATCTTGTTCCGAGACGACCGAAGTTATCAGTGGTTTGGTGCTAATACTGACATTATTATGGTAGTGCTTGCACGGAAGGTCGCCCCAAATTTTTTGTATCTAAAAAATACATCTAATTAGCCCTAAAAAAAAAAGAGTGTAAGTTAAACAGCTATTGATTATAATGTTGAATAAATAACTCACCTTTTTCATGTTACTTAGCAATTCCTCATCGTGAGTCTTGAAATTGTGCATGTTCAATTCGATTTCAGACTCGATTATTGGGTCTTTGTACGGAAACGGTATTTTTTCGAGAACAGATAAAATCTATATTCATATGATGGATCTTTTCTTAGAAAAGAAAAAAAACGATAGCTTTTACGAATAAGTCTAATTAATAAGCATTATCAAATACCTGTGCCATGTTATCGGTCGTCGTTTGATCATTTATATATAATTTCATTATGCGCAATCCTCCTTGATTAACGAATTGCCTCAATAGAACATTATCCGACGTCAACTTGATAGTTTAAATGAAAACGTCAGAAGTGTAACCTTTGGACTCGGTTGTTAACCAAGAAATTTACGACAGTTACCTCAAGCCTATGCATGAAGTATTCTACCATTTCTGGACGATATACAGCTTGCATCATATGTCCAATGATGTCGACCACGTCGGTAGGACCCTCTAACGGACGAGCCTCACCAAGATGAATAGGCGGTGATGCACTTTGAACTTGTGATGAAGGTACTACTACTCCATAACTGAACATGTGATGCAAAAGGA